TGCTGCTTGGCCTGCTGTGTTCATCCAGCCCTGCACCTTGTTGTCTCTGTCATTATATACGTATATTTTAAATAAAAGTTGCTTGTAGTTAACCTTCATGATCACGTTATGGCACAACTCCAGAGCAGGTGGGACTTCAGCCCAGGCCCCCTGGCTCAGAGGTGGGGACATTACCACTGTGCCACACACAATTGATATTCATGTTAATTGGCAAAATCAATTTTGCAAAGTTAATTGAGGGGACGTGGTGGTTGGGGAACATTATCGTGCGCCTGATATTCTTGTAGGGTCTGCAAAGGGGCACATTGGAAATATGAAAAGGTGTGTGTTTTTAACTCCAGTGTTTGGATCTGTCCTGAGTTTACAGCATTTTGTGTTGAATTCGCCAGACTCTCTTTAAAAAGAAATTACCGTGCACTTCTGAATTTTTTTTGAAACAGCAATGACAAACTTACTGGCTGGAATGTGAAATCGCCGCTCTATCAGAGACACGCGAATCTCCATGTTGGGTGGAGGATGGGACAGGCAGGTATGTTTCCATTCCCTGTTTTTGTGGGAAGCATATATTCCAAATAGAGCTTGGGCGGCACTGATCAAAAGGCCAGCACCAGCCGAATATTCCCGGGAGAGGGAATTCCGGGACACACACAGCACGTCCTCCCCAGACAACAATCCAATTAATGTGAGTTTGACCCCTGAAACTTTCACAACACAGTCCCAATGGACGAACAGGGAGCAGAGCGACCGAGAGAGGCAAGAGGGGGGTCAATAGTGGTGGGGATAGGAATGGAAAAAAATCGGCCTTGTGATCCATTTAATGTAACATAAAGTTTAAATAAGTTGCAAAGTCCTGCTGGAAGGATAACTTCTTGATTGGTGAAGGGGTAATTTAGCAAATGCTCTCAGCCTTTCTACACGGTCAGCCACGCTACCACCTCGCCACTTCACACACCCACCCCAGGAGGCTGGAATAGTCATTAGGGGCCATTCAACCAGAAGGTTTCAGAATAATTACTCCATTCAATCCCCATCATTGTGTTAAGATCAAAGAAATCATTTTCCTGTTTGCCCCATCTCTGTTCACTTGGTAAAGGTTTAAACTGAATTGATTCCTTTATCAAAAGAATGGCAGAGTCTCTAGGATCTCTTTCTGTCAGATCTGATCAGAAGCTTGATTTAACATTTGCCCCGTGAAGAAAAATAAAGCGAGTTTGAAAAGATTTTGTTTTTCGCTCCTTCCCGGGTTTTGGAGATCAGGAAGAGGAAAGCTGACTTTAGAGAATATGAAGTCATTTGGTACGTACTCCGGACCCGGGAGTATTACTGAGATCAGAAGGCGGCTGGTATTTCTTGCGAAGTGCCCTGATGAGGACAGGACGGGATGTTTGGACAGACTGGGTCATGTTGGAGTAAAGGTGGTGGGGGTGGGGGTGGAGAGAGAGAGAGATGTTTACCTGCTGCTGCTGCGGACATGGTTCCCGGACTCCGTCTGAAACGCCGCCGTGCTCTCACCACCTGAGCCGGGGCATCACAGCCTCGGGCACCGCCCTCGCCCCCGCAGGCTGCTCCAGCCGCTTCGGATCCCGGAATCAAACCCCGTCCTTAAGGCACAGCGCGGAGTCCAGCTCACTCCCGGAGAACGGTCAGTTTCAAGCCTCGGGTCAGCTCCGCTCGCAGTTTCCTGCTTCTCTACTCAAGCGCCGTGTCACTTCCTCATACTCCGAATATCACAGTGTCCCCTCATCAGCCCAATCCCAGCCACAACACAGGCTCAGACGTCAGATGGACAGAGAGATACCTGTCAGAGATATAGACACACACCTGTTAGAGACAGAGACACACGCACGTCAGAGACACACATGACAGTGATAGAAACACATATCAGGGCAGGGACACACATGGAAGCACATACATGACAGACACACAC